TTTTTCTTTCCCTCACTCCCATGTCTAATTTATCATCTGAGTATCCTACATGGGTCACTCCTTTCCATTCTCGTGGCCACTTCTTGGTTCAGCTCCATCACTGCTGTATGCATGTCCTCAGGCTGCCATAAGAAAGTACTAAAAATTCGGCGATGTATATGAACAGAAGTTTATTGTCTCATACTCTGAAGGCTAGGAATCCAAAATCAAGGTGTTAGCAGGGCCATGCTCTCTGAAGGCTGTAGAAGAAGATCTTTTCTTGTCTGGAGCTTATGGTAACCCCAGGCATTCCTTGGCTTGCAGCTGCTGCCTAGCTCATCCTCATGTCACATGGCTGTCCTCTCTGTCTTTAATTCTCTTTAATAAGAACACCATTCACATGAGATTAGGACCCACCCTACTTTGGTATGACCTCGTATTAACTGATCTTAACATCTTCAAAAGGAGCCCTGGTGGTGCAATGGTTAAGCACTCAAATGGTAACTGAAAGGTTGGTGGTTCAAACCCACCACCCACTCCATGGGACAAAACACCTGGCAATCTGCTCCCATAAAGATTACAGCTTAGGGAACCCTATGGGGCAGTTCTAGTCTGTCCTATGGGGTTGCTATGAGTTGGAATCAACTCAGTGGCACACAACATCTTCAAAGACCCTATTTCCAAACAGGGTCATGTTCACAGGTACAGGAGTTAGGACTTCAGCATGTCTTTTTGGGGGATATAGTTCAATCTGTAATAACTTCTAACCTTCAGCTGCCCCCCAAAGGGTCTCCTGGCCTCCACTTTTACCCCTCTACAATCCATTCTCCATGGTACAGAGTGATCTTTCTAAAATGGAATCCCAACCCTATCTTCTATTTTAACCCCTTTCCCATTTATGGTTACTGGTTGCATTTAGGATAATGTCTGAACTCCTTTATGTAGGTTCAAGACCCTTCCCCATCTGGCCCCTGCTTCCCTCTCCAGCTTTGTCTCTGACCAGTCTCTCCATGCTGTAACCATGCTGAACAAATGTCCAAGCCCCAAATGTGCCACGCTTTCTCTGCTCGTGTCATTGATAGCTCAGAAGAAAAATGCATACAGAGGTGGGTTGCTGGTTGAGTGGGAGGTGGGCAGCAAGATTCTGAGAAGGCCTTTTGCAAATCTGTCTTTAACAAAGGTGACAATGAAGGAACACAGTGTGGGAACAGAGTGTGAGTGTGGGAACACAGCTGTTGTTGTGTGCGGTCGAGTCAATTCCAACTCATAGAGACCCTATAGGACAGAGTAGAATGGTCGCCTAGGGTTTCCTAGACTTTATGGGAGCCAATTGCCAGGTCTTTTCTCCCTGTGGAGCTGCTGGTGGGTTCGTTGGGCACTTAACCATTGTGCTACAGGGCTCCTCAACATTAGCTGTAGAGGGCTGCAAATGGGGCACCTGGATCTCTTTAGTTACTGAAACTAAGGCACAAACCTAGAGGGAGCGTTCATTTCAACACTGAATTAAGTAAAAACAGTATGAATAATAGAGGATTTAATGTCTTTGAAATGAAAGTGATACCTAAAATCTACAAGGACTTGTTAACTCGTAATACAGTTGAATAAAGGCCCAAAGTAGAAAAATAATCCTAAGAACGCGCTTGTAGTTTTAATATGACATTTGGAGTATTTTTGTTCTTACAATGACTAAATCAGCAAGAACGATATTAATTCTTTATTGATTAATTAAATCATAACATTGTGTACAAATAAATTCTGTATTTAAAAATAATCAATTGAGCTGTATTTTCAGATCCCATGCAACCTCATATTGTCCTACCCTTGGCCTTCATACACTCTGTTCCCTTGACCTAGACGCATGCTAGTTGTGAAAGCTCAGTCAAGGAATTTAACCCCTCTACTTGCTCATCTGTAAAACTGAGGATAACAATAATAGTACCTACCTGAGTGGTGTGGACAGTCTGTGCTTGACTATCAGCCTAAAGGTTGGCTAGTAAGAAAAAAAGTGGAAGAAAGTCCTGGTGACTTGTTTTTGTAAAGATCACAGCCAAGAAAACCCTATGGAGCAGTTCTACGCTGTAACACATGGGGTCGCCATGAGTCAGAGTCAACCTGATGGCAATGGGTTTGGTTTTTGGTACCTGGGGTTGTAGCCCAGGGTACCTATATGGCTGTTGTAAGGATTAAATGAGTTAATACTTGTAAAGCACTGAGAACAGTGCCTGCCACATAATAAGCACCCGACATTTAGTAATAAACTACTACTACTATTATTGTTGTTGTTGTATTTGTTTTTCTCTTCCTCCATTCTGTTGCTCACCTGTACTCTTACTGGTTCTCCTGTTCCGAAATTAGAAATCATTCCTAAAGCATTTACTCCCCACAACAGCCCCTCAGAGTGGGCCCTCTTGTCTCCCCTTTTCAGTTAAGGAAACAGAGGCACACAAGGTCCAGTGTTTTGCAGGGGCTCACAGGCTGGGCTTCAGCTCCAGGTCCAGCTGACTCGGGCCTGAGGTCTGAGTCCACTATGCTGTACCACCTCTGCCCTGTCTGTTCTGACTCCCCCAGATCTCTGTCTCCAGCATTCCTGCTGCCTAGTTCTAAGTGGCTTGTAACCACTCCCCTTCCCTCCCTTCCTCCCAACTCGCTCCTCTTCCCATGGGCTTCATTTAGTGACTAGTCCCACCATTCACCCATCCCCTAGGCCAGAAACCTGGGAATCACCCAGTCTCCTTGCCACCCCACATTCCTCCTCCTATTGGCCAACGTGCCCTATTGATTGTATTCCTTAAATGTCTCTCAGATCTGTCTTTCTCTGTCTCCACTGAGCAGAACTTTAAGGCTTTCTCACCATTCTTAACCTGGATGATTACCTCAGCTTCCTCCCAAAGTGTCTTTGGTCTCTGGTCTCCACGCTGGCGGCCAGAGGGCTCGTTCCAATATGTAAAGCCAACCAGTTCTCACTCCTGCTTAAAACTTTACAATATCTCCCTGTTGTCTAAACAGCTTTGAGAGACACAGGTCCCTAGAAAAACTCTGTAGAACAAGAGCTCTGTGGCCAAAACATTTGGGAAATGCAGCTCACTCTGTCTCCCTCTAGGGAGCCCTGGTGGAGCAGTGGTTAAGCGCTCGGCTGCTAACCGAAAGGTCAGTGGTTTGAACCCACCAGCCACTCCACTGGAGAAAGATTTGGCAGACTGCTTCCATAAAGATTACAGCCTTGGAAACCTTGTAGGGGGAGTTCTACTCTGTCCTATAGGGTCGCTATGAGTCCGAATCGACTCGACAGCAACGGGTTTGATGTTTTTGTTTTTCTGTCCCCCTCTTGGAGATTCACTCTATACAGAAGGCTCATAGAAGCTGGGAGAAACCCTGTAGTAAAGAATACAGCTTAGATTTGTTTGACCCAGTGGTTCCCACCTTGCCTGATGCAGTACCCTTTTCTTCTACATCCTCCTATTAAGATTTGGGAGCATCATATTCCAAGGAACACTCTTTGGGAAATGCTGCCTGATAGGATCAAGTTAAAGCTCCCGCAAGTCAACTCCAACTTATTGCAACCCCATGTGTGTCAAAGTAGAACTGTATTCCACAGGGTTTTTTGTTTTTCCTTATAAATTATATTTATTAGCATGATCAAGATAAGAAAAGAGTTTGGGCTTTAATTATAAAATGCAGCATCTGTCTCTGGTTCTCTTGGCTAAGCTTTTCCTCTTCTTTTCCTTCCATTCTTTTCTTAGCTGTCTTCCATCTTTCTGGCTCAAATTTTCCTCATTAAACAATGGCTGATTTTTTGGAAATAGATCACTAGGCCTTTCAAACCTCCAACCTTTCAGTTAGCAGCTGGGCTACCTTAACCCTTTGCACCTCCCAGAGATGCCTCAAGCTCCTTAGTAGCATAACACACAAGGGTCTTCAAGATCAGATACATTATCTTTCACACTCCCCTCCCACCCCATCTCCAAATGCCTGCGATATAAAATTGGGTTGTTTTACATCTCTGTGGTCCTGCTCCTTAGAATGCCTTTCTCGCTACTTAAGAACTCACAACTCTACTAATTCTTCAAGAGTTGGCTTAAATGGCACCTCGTTTGTGAAACCTTTTCCTCTCTTCTTATGGGTCCACTGTTGCTTGGCCTGGTGGCTGTCAGTGTTTACCTGTTCATGGGTCTGGCTGCTCCACAGGAAGATCAGTTCCTCTACAGAGAGGCTGGGCTTCTTTGTGTCCTCTCCAGCGCTCATGCGGTACTTGTTCCACGGGAGGCGCTTGGTTGAACAAGTGAATGACAGAATGAGATCCAAAGGTCTGAGATTCTGCGGGAGCGCTGAAGATGACACTGCCCCAAAGGATGCTTCTAAGCCAGGGTTTCTCAACCTCAGCACCACTGCCATTTTGGCGAAGATAATCCTTGTTGTGGGAGGCTATTCTGTGCATTAGAGGATGTTTAGCAGCATCCTTGGCCTCTACCCCTTAGATGCCAGTAGTACCCCCCACCCCCACTGCCTGAGTTGCAACAATCAAAAAATGTCCCTAGACATTGCCAAATATCCCCGGGGGCAAAATCATCCCCAGCTGAGAATCACTGGTGTAAGCACAGGTTATTCCGAGTACCTTCTGTCTCTGGGCACGTGGTCCTTTTCTCAGGCAGGTTAACAAGTTTTCTTTCTTGTCCTTAAAACTTTCTCAAGGGAAAAAACTCCCCTTCCATACCTGAGCTGAACTTTGCTTCCTCTGGAGAGGGAAGGGGGAAGTTCTAGGAAGGAGGGCGAGCTTGGTTGCGCCTGGAGCTAGGGCGGCAAGTGGGATAGATGGAAGCTCTTGCTCCAGGCATCTTGAGAAAGGATACTGGGCAGGGTGTATAAAGCAGCCTTGCAGAGAGCTGCTGTCCTGGCCTGTGCTTTCTGAGAAGGCCAGTCCTGTCGAATGAAGCACCAGTCTACTCTCTTCCCATCTTTGCGGGAGCCTGGGAAGGATGGGGTCTCTCCTGTGTCCTTCTTCTCACCCTTGCTCTACCCTGCAGTCAGTGCCGAGGGGAACCAGGCCTGTGCCAAGGGCTGTGAGCTCTGTTCTGAGGTCAACGGCTGCCTCAAGTGCTCGCCCAAGCTGTTTATCCTGCTGGAGAGGAACGACATCCGCCAGGTGGGCGTCTGCTTGCCGTCCTGCCCACCTGGATACTTTGATGCCCGCAATCCCGACATGAACAAGTGCATCAGTGAGTGTGGGCAGGGCTGGGGAGGGGTGTAGAGGCTCTGGGCACTGGGGCGGGTAATTTGAGCTGTTGGTGTCCGTGGGAGGGGTAGAGGGGATGCTGAGAAGGGGAGATGAAGCTCCCTGCACCAGGCAACCTGAGCTCCTGACTCCAGTATCCACCTCCCGGCCAGACATCTCCCCAGATATCCACCCATACTTCTAACTCAGTGTGTCCATATCAGAACCCCCATCTCTTCCCTCCAAATCTGTACTTACCTGTATTCCCACAGGAGCCTCTCAGTGTCCCAACCTGCCACCCCAGCCACAGACTTGAGAGCCAACCTCTCACTTGTGCCGTGCCCCCGTCCATCTGATAACCAAATCCTGGTTTGTGCCCGCTCCATCTCGTTTCCATCTTCACTGCCACTGTGTCACCAGGTTCCCGTCACCTCTCTCGGACCACTGCAATAGCCTGTTCCTCTGTCCTCCAGCCCCCATCAGGTTCCCCTTGACCTGCCCTCCACACTGCAGCCAGAAGGATGTATCTGGGATGCATAGCTAATCTCATCACATGGCTTGCAAACCACTGCTGGCTCCACACTGAGTTGGTCCTGCTTAGTCTGGTCCCTGCCTGCTCTTCTACTCTCTTCTCCCACCAGTCTTCTCACTTGGCCTCTGCTCTCCCCAACCCATGCCAGCTCCTCACATACAGCATGAGCTGTCATCTCTCCACTCCCATCTCTGTAGCCACGGCGATGACATGCTGGGTGACAACATAGTGAACACACTAGAGTGGACCATGCCAAGGCCCCTTCCCATGTGCTCAGTGCCCTGGCGTTTAGAATGCCTTTCCAGCTTTCATACCATTGGAGCCTCACAACAACCTTTGGAGGGAAACAGGACAAAAGTTATGGTACCCTTTTTGTAGCTGATAGCACCGAGGCTGATAACATCATTTCCCCAAATGACTGGCCCAACACCGGCAGACTTCGGTTCCACTCTCAACTCTGCTACTTATTCGTTGTGGGACCTTTGGCATGTCTCAGCCTCTCAAAGCCTTTTCTTTAAAATGGGAGTATTCATGTTGACCCCTAGCGTTGTTGTGAGTCCTTAGTGTCTGGCACTCAATACATGGTGGCTGCTATTGTTCTTATTTTACCTGCAACCAAACCCAGGAATCAGAGCTTCAGGGAGGGCGGAGGGGAGACAGGTGCGACAGAGTAAAGCTACAGAAGCGAGGAGACACAGAGGAGGGTGGGGTTGGGAATGAGGAGCTTGTGAGGATGGAGGTGAGATCCTGAGCTGCCCTCTTGGTCCTCAGGGTGTTTGGGGTAGGGAGTTCCTGGCTGTGCCAGCTTCTGGGAAACTGGCAGCCTGGGCTTCAGGTGCCAGAGATGGGGAGGAAGGCAACCCCACCCACAATCTGGGAAGGGAGAGATTGTGAAAGGCCCTGCCTGCTTCCAGCCAAGCCCTACACAGCCCTTCCATTTCCCAGGAGGAGGGAGAGCTGGCAGGAGGGGATCAGGGAGGGACCCAAGAGTCCAACCAAGCTGGTTCCTGGAACTCAGCCTTGCAGAAGTAGAGGAATTTGCCTGGGATTGCTCCCCCTCCTCTGAGCAGGAGGAGAACCAGGGTTTGGGATGCTGTAGATGCTCAGTGGTGGGGGAAGGGGCAATGCGTTGTCATTCTTGGGGGTCGCTGTGGGCCTCAGTTCACCTCTGGGATGCCCTGAGATGCTGTGACACTCCTCCTCCCTCCCCTCCTAGTCCCAGAGGGCCCTGCCCTCTTTCTGTAAAACCCTCTCTCATGGGCTTCACCTTGGGTTCCAGAGCCTGGGGTAGGGTTTGGATTAGGGTTGGCTGACCACAGCAGGAGGTCCCAGCCAGCCCTCAAGAGTGGCCACGTCAGCCTCCTTTCTCTGCCCTTCCTTCCCCTCCCCTCCCAAGACTCCAGTGCTGTGATGGAAGCTCCAGGCCCTGCCCTCTGTGTGGGGGAGCGTAGGTGGGCATTGGGCATGGGGATAAGGGAAATGCCTGTCCTAGGCTCAGCCTGGGGCCCCAATCTGGTCCTCTTCTCAGAATGCAAGATTGAGCACTGCGAAGCTTGCTTCAGCCACAACTTTTGCACCAAGTGTAAGGAGAGCTTGTACTTGCACAAGGGTCGCTGCTACCCGGCCTGTCCCGAGGGCTCCGCAGCTGCCAACGGCACCATGGAGTGCAGCAGTCCTGGTAAGGCACAAGACGCTGCAGGCAGAGGCCCAGGGCCCCAGGGGTGGGCCAGGAGGGGGTCTGGTCAGGGAGGCTGTGGGCCGGGACACTGTGCAGGGAATGTTTACCCCAGGACCACCTCCAGGGTTTCTCTCAGGACTTTTCTGCTCTCTGTACTGAGGATTGGAGTCCCTGGGTAGCCCAAAAGGTTAAGTGCTTGACTACTAACTGAAAGGTTGGTGGTTTGAACCCACCAGAGGTGCCTTGGAAGACAGGCCTGGCGATCTGCTTCTGAAAGGTCACAGCCTTGAAAACCCTATGGAGCACAGTTCTACTCTGACATAAATGGGGTCTCCATGAGTTGGAATCACTCAATGGCAACTGGTTTGGTTTTTTGGTTTTTGGGCAAAAGATGCCTCCAGCCTAAGGCCTAGGCCAAGAGCAGATGGGAAGGAGGCTCCCCTTGGGTATTTTGGGCCAGATAAGGAGTTCTGACCCCTTCCTCCTCTTCCCTCCCTTCCTGCTAGCACAATGTGAAATGAGTGAGTGGTCTCCATGGGGGCCGTGCTCCAAGAAGAAGAAGCTCTGTGGTTTCCGGAGGGGCTCCGAGGAGCGGACGCGGAGGGTGCTCCATGCCCCCGCAGGGGACTATGCCATCTGCTCCGATACCAAGGAGACCCGCAGGTGCACAGTGCGGAGAACGCCATGTCCTGAGGGTGAGCTGCAGCCTCCACCCCTTAGGGGTCAGGAATTAGGCACCAGCCACAGCGGCCGGACCACCTCTGCCTCCTGCCCATTGCGCAGGAGAGGGCCTCAGAGCAGGGCTTCCACTGATGGAAGAGAGGCCCAGGACGTGGAGTCCCCAACCCAGGGCCCCTTTCTGTCCAAGTCATCTGCCTTGTCCTGGGAGAGAGCAGTGCACCAGACTCTGAAAGCCTCTATGGTCAATATCCTCCCAGTTCTCCATTTCTCTGAGTCAGCAGAGGTGGAGCTAGAAGGGCCCTTGTAGGTTAGATGAGGGTACAGGAGGGGGCACTGAGACCCAGAGAGGTGTACTGATTTGACCAAGGCCGCACAGCCTGCAGGTGGCAATGAAGTGGCTGTGGCTCTTGCTTGGCCCCAAGATGGAGGTGGCCGGTGGGAGGTGGAGGAGTGGGAGCTGTCCTGTCTGTCCTGAGAGCTACACTGAACTCCTGGGAGATATGCTGTTGGCCTGCTGGTCTGAGGAAGATGTGAGGAAGAGGAGGGTGTCTGGTGTGCACTTGAGGGGTGTAGGGTGAAAAGGCTTTTAGGACCCCCTCTCAGTACTCATGTTGCAGGATCTTTGGAAGTGGCTGCTGGGCAGAGGCAGCCTTGAGGTGACCCCGACTGTCTAAAGGAGCATCTCCAGGAGTCCTCCCTGCCCCCCCCCAGCTTCCTAACCACCCCCTTCCTAGGGCCCTTGGCCATGCCCAGGGCCTCCCTGCTTTCGGCAGGACGTCGTTTGTTGATTCTTCCTTCTGTTGGGGTTGCAGGGCAGAAGAGGAGGAAGGGAGGCCAGGACCAGCGGGAGAACGCCAACAGGAACCTGAACGGGAAGGAGAGCAAGGAGGCGGGTGCTGGCTCCCGGAGACGCAAGGGGCAGCAACAGCAGCAGCATCAAGGGACAGTGGAGCCGGTCACGTCTGCGGGGCCCACCTAGGGACAATGTTCAGCCTCCAGGCCCGTGCAGAAAGAGTCCAGAACTGCTCTGTGTGATGAAACTTTACTGAACTGGAGCAACTGGGACAACGCGTACACATACACACTCCATACATACATGTGTGCACACACGCAGGTATGCAAACCCCATGTCCAAATATACAACCACATACACACAGACATACATCCAGATGTACAACCATACATACATGTACACATGTGCACACACGCACACCCTCTCTCCAGACCACTGGACATCACCGTGTGGAAAGGTGGGGGAGGCAGAGGGCCTGGCAAAACATGCTTGGTTTAAAATGCTCCCGGTGGACACAAAAGAGAGAACATTTCCCAGCGCCCAGGCCGAAACATGGCAGAGTGGGTACCTTCTGGAGGAGCTGATGGGATCAGCTGGTGTGGCAGACAGGAGCCAAAGCTTAAGGACTGCTGGAGACCCAGGAGAAGCCTTCTCCGACCTCGCTCTGCATCTCTAGCTGTGTGACTTTATCATTGGAGAGTATGTTACACATCCATGGTACATACCAGGGCTGACCTGACTGAAAACTGCTTAAAGGTTTATTTCAAATTAAAAAAAAAAAAAAAAGACAGCAGTAGCCGTAGATACCACATTCCTTTTCAGGGTGCAGGGATTGGTGGGGCACACATTGGGGGCAAGCAGGGACAAGGCTGAATATCAAGAGACCCCCAGTGGCCTCCTAGACAGTGGGTCCAAAGCAGGAAGAAAACCTTGGGGACACTTGAGAGTGGTAACCCGTTCTCGACATCATTGTTACTCAGTGTGGTCCATGGACTGGCAGTGACATTATCACTGGGGAGCTTGTTACAGACGAGACCCTCAGTTCACATCCCCGACCTAATGAACCAGAGTTTGCATTTTAACAAGACGTATTGCACATCAAAGTTTGAGAAGCCCTGCTCTCATTAATTACCTCTAAGCCCTGCTGGCGCAATGGTTAAGAGCTCGGCTGCTAACCAAAAGGTCAGCAGTCTGAATCCACCAGCTGCTCACTGGAAACTCTATGGGGCAGTTCTACTCTGTCCTATAGGGTCGCTATGAGTTGGAATTGACTCAATGGCAACGGGTTTGGGTTACTTTTTTGTTTTTTTTAAACTTCCATCAGAAGGAGCCCTAGTAACACGCAATGGTTAAGCACCTGGCTACTAACCAAAGGTCAGTGGTTTGAACCACCCCCATCAACTTTGTGGAAGAAAGGACCTGGTGACCTGGTCCCATAAAGATTACAGCCTAGGAAACCTTATGTGGCAGTTCTACTCTTTCACGTGGGCTCACTATGAGTCGAAATCGACTCAATGGCACTTAACAGCAACAAGCTTCCATCTCAGGATGGAACAAGAGGACCTCGGCCAGCTTGTGGTCAGAGGGATTCTGGGCCACTATAAAGGAGGGCTTTCTACCTGGGAGAGGTAGAATCTATACACTCAAGGTATATTGTGGCACTCTTAGGGGCTGGGGATCCTCTAGCTCTCTGAGATGGTTTGGGGACAGTCCTACTCAAAGGCAGGGCATGGGATGGAAGGACATCTTGTGGTGTTCTGGTGTCCACTGGCAGCCCTTGTGTGCCAGGCTCTGGAGTAGGTGTTTGCTTCCCAGTGGGAGCCAGACTGACCTGAGCCCTGCTTGCACAGAGCATAGAGGTTGGTGGGGGAGACAGGCGAGAATCGGGTAGTCATACTAACGAATGTATAATTATAAATGGGCAGACTTAAGAGCAGGCAACCACCAGCACATACACATAGCTACAAAAGTGAATGAAAAGACTTATCTCAGGGAGCCTTTGGAGAGGAGGTGATATTTGAGCCAAGCTCTCAAGGATGAGGAAGAGTTAGGACAAAGGAGAAATGACATTCTACACCAGTGCTGTCTAATAGATGTAGAAACCGAGCGAGCCACGTATATAATTTAGAAATTTCTAGGTAATTTTATTTTTATCTAACCAAATATATGCAAAATATTATCTTTCAACATGTAATCAATATAAAAACTAACGAGATTGTTTACATTATTTTTTGAACCATGTCTTCAACATTCTGTGTGTATGTTTATACTGACAGCATATCTCAATTCAGAGACTAAATTTTGACCAGAAATACCTGATCTGTATCTAGGTTTTGTAAAAATTAGAGTTGTAAAAGGAGACGCACATACTCGTTCTAAGTGTATTTAACAGTTTTCTAATATCTGAATTGAATATCAGTTTTTTTAAATTTAAATGTTAATTAATTAAAATTAAATAACATTGACCATTCAGTTCTGCAGTTGCACTAGCTGCATTTCAAATGCTCAATAGCCACAGGTGGCTAGTGGCTACTGTATCAGACAACATGGTTCTATACAGAGGGAATAGCACATGCAAATGTCCTGTGGCAGAAAGGAGTTTGATATTTGAGGAAATGTAAGAAGGTCAGCATAGCTGAAAAGTCCAGAGGGCAGGTGTGGCAAGATGAGCCAGAAAGATCCCCTGGAGTTTGGTCTTTATTCTCAGAGCCAAGGGAGGCTGTTGAGGGGTTTTAAGCAGGGGCCAACACAACCAGATTTGCTTTTTGCAAAGACCACATTGGCTGTAGTGTGGGGAACAGACTAAAGGAAGGCTGGTGAGAAGGACTTTGCTGCATCTGGGTGAGAGGTGATGGAGGCTTGGACTAGAGGGTACTAGAGTAAAACATGCGAAAGCCAGAACCTCCGTAACGTGGAAACCTGTCAGAGAAGGAAAACCCAAATATTTTCCACTAAAATGAGTAATGGAAAAGGATAAGACTGCACGCTGTGAAAGACAGAAAACTTGTGAGACACAGAAAAACAAGGCAGTCCCATCGAGTTCTGACTCTCACAGGTTTCCCTGTAGTGGGAATGGAGAGAAGAATGCAAAGTCAAAGGTATCTTGGGGGAAAAAGTTGACAGAATTTGGTGATGAACTGGATATGGAAGAGCGGAGCGAAGGAGAGGGAAGTGTCAAGAACGATGTCCCTATATCTGGCTCGAACAACCAGACGGTGGTGCAGTTTACTGTGATGAGAAACAAGAGGGGAGAACATAAATTTGATTTTGACCATGTTGAGTTGGAGACATCCTGGTGAAGATGGTGAGCAGACATTGCATAAACACAAGTACAGGTCTAGTGCACATAGGGAAGTCTGGGCTGGAAGATAAACTGGTGTAGAGAAAATAATTGAGGCTGTGGGCTTGGGAGAGATCGGCTAAAAAGAGTACTGGGCAAAGAGGGCTCTGAGGCCCTCCAAGTATAACAATCAGATCATGGAGGATGAGTTGGCAAAGGAGTCAGAGGAGGAGCAGGCAGAGTGCTAAGAGGGAAACCAGGAGGAGTATGATGTCCCAGGAACTAGCCAGAAGGAAGGAAAGATCAAGAGGTTCAAAAGCTGCTAAAAGATGTAAAGTGAAGACTGGAAAATGACCATTGGACTTAGCAACATGTGTGCCAGGAGTAACCTTAGCAAGAGACGTGAGGGTGAAATCAGCAGACAATCCCCTCAAGAAGGTTGGCTGTGAAAAAGAGGCGATAAATGGGACAGGGGCTGGAAAGAGATGTAGGGTCAAGAGAGAATCTTTTTTTCTTTTAAAGATAGAGAAGTCTGGAATATGTTTAAAACCCCTTGGGAAGGGTCTAGTTGAAGGAAAGCAGTTGCGTACACAGGAGAGAGAAGGGGAAATCAGTAGTAGAAGGTTCCTGAGAAGATGGCAGGGGCACAAGGGAGATGGCTACCAATACAAGGTTAGAAGCAGGCCTCAACCAGGAGGAGGGGCAGCTCCACAGGAGCAAGGAGGGGGTGGTGCAGGTGTGGGGAGGCTGGTTGGTTTGCAGGTTGAGGGATCTCGGATCTGTGTGCCTGCCACTGTGCAGGTCCTGTGCCACCCACACCTGTGATCGCCTTCACAGCTGGTCAGGATTTGGAGCCCGTGTGGAACCGGGGCACAGTCACTGGCTGCCCGCAGTCAGCTCTGCCTCCCCTCTCCCCGCAGCTCCTCACCTTGCCTTCTGTCTCTGAATCTGGTTTCGGCTTTGTCCCTCCGGTTCTGTCTTTGTCCTGGCTGGACTCTGTCTCTGTTTTTGGCCTCTCTGTCTTTGCCTCTGTCTGTTTCTCTGACTCTCTGTCCCTCATCTGTCACCCTGTCCTTTTCTGTTTCCACCTCAACCTCTCACTCCGTTTGTGTATGCCATTGTTTCTCTGTGTTTCTGTCTCCTCCTGGGCTTCACTCCTCAATCTCTGTATGTCTTGGCTGTCTCTGACTCTGATTTGTCCCAGTCTTCTAGATCCTTAAGACTTCGCTACACAAAACCTGTGACCATGGGCCAGCAACCTTCACGTCATCTGCAAACTTGTCAAAAATGCAGAATCTCAGGCCTTGCCCCTCCTAATGCATCTGAATCTGCCTTGTAGCAAGATCCCCACGGGAATTCATGTACATATTAAAGTATCGTTCATGTACAAAATCCATGTACAAAAGTTTGAGAAGCACCTCCTTAAGATATCCTCTAAAAGAACAACATCAACAACAAAATTCCAGAATATTAGCAACATCGAAGAAGGGGGTAGATCCTTCTGTATCGCCTTTATTACCTAGGAGGTGCTCTGAGGTATCAAAAGCTCAGAGAACAAGATTCTCTGTGTCACCTCCTTGAGCCTCCCAAGCCCCTGAAGCTCTAGGCAGGTAAAGAGAAGGAACATAATATGAGCTCCAGGAGTCCCAAGTCCACTGATGCACACCTGACACCTCAGCTTCCTCATCTGCAAAATTACTGGTGGAAGGGTGTTTTCCCTGATGCTAATAGTTTGGGGGCTTCCAGATGAGATCCCAGTGCATCTCTGAGAACAATTAGCCCCACCTCAGAGCCCTGGTGGCACAGTGGTTACAAGCTTGGCTGCTAACCAAAACGTTGGCAGTTCGAATCCACTAGCCACTCCTTCAAACCCTACAGGGCAGTTCTGCTCCGTCCCATAGGGTCA